GAGATGGATTGATTCGGTGACTGGGGTATTCGGGATGAGTGTGTCGGAGGCAGTGCAGTTGGCGCAGGATAGAGCAGGGTTTAGGGCTGTTTTGCATAGGGTCGCTATGAGTCGGAAACGACTCGACGGCACATAACAACAACAACAACAACAGCATTGACTTTATCCACTACTCTCCTTATAAATCTGGTTTTCGTGTGTGTGTGTGTGTGTGTGTGTGTGTGTGTGTGTGTTTTGGAAACATTGTGTATAAATTTACAGTTTCAGCATTAGAGCTTCCATCTTCTCTAATTTCTTCTTCTGTCACAAACACTGGTAACTTTCAGATGGCAGAGCTTTGGTCATTCCAGATTTACAAATAACCATGGGGGGAAATAGAGTCCATTTAAATAACAGTATTAGAAATTTTGTATGAAATATTTTCTTACTAGCTCACTAACATTTATAATTTGTTGATGTACGGTAACTTTGACTATCCTGACATGAATCTAATTGTGTTGCTTAAAAAGATATCTTGAAGTCATAGCCTTAGGTGTGAATATGATCCTATTTAGAAATAAGAACTTACCAGTTAAATGAATAAGATCACACTGCAACAAAGTTGGTCTCAATCTCTATCTCTTCTCATGGAGCTCTGCTAGTGTAGCCCACAGGAAGTTGCACTTTAAATTCTCTCTGGTGGTTTGAATCTACCAGTGGCTTTTGCAGAGGAAGATGAGCATTAATGTCTTGTACACTTTATGTTGTTGTTCTTAGATGCCACTGGGTCGAGTAGGACTGATAGTGACCCTATGAGCAACAGATCTGAACCCGGTCTTATGCTCTGCAATCTTCTCACTTCCTGACAAATCCACCTAGTTGAAGGTCTTTCTCTCATTCGCCTACCCTTACTCCTTCCAAGCATCATGTTCCTCTCCAAGAAACAGCCCCTCCTAGCAACATGTCTGAAGTATGTGAGGTGAAGCATCATTATCTTTGCCCCCAAAGTGCCCTTTCCAAGACTTATGTGTTTGTTATTTTGGTACAATGTCCAATCCTTTTCTCCAACACCACAGTTCAATGGCATCAATTATTATTCTGTTATTTCTATTAATTGTCCAGGTCTCAGATGTATAGCAAATTATTTGAAAGACCATGGCCTGAATGAGATACGCCTTAGTTCTCAAATTGACAACACTACTCCTAAATAATTTGGAAAGGTCCCTAAGTGAAGACTTTTCCAGTGCAATACTGGTTTCCTGACAGCTGGTACCAAGGGTGTGAATTGTGGATCCAAGCAAGATGAAGTTGTTGACAGTTTCAATCTCTTCACCACCCATCATGATGCTGCCTATCAGTCCAGTAGTAAGAATCTTTGTTTTCTTGACATTGAGATGCAATCCATACTGAAGGATGCAATCTTTGATCTTCTGCAACAAGTACTTCAAGTCCTCTTTACTTTCAGCAAGCAAGACTGGGTCCTCTGCATAATGGTGGTTACTGATGAGTCTACCTCCGATCCCAATACGCAATTTATAGACTTTGAAAATGAGCTAGACGGTCAGTTACAAGTTGGTTTGGACTCTGTGACAATGAGTTTTTAAACACTTATAAAAGGAGAGAACACTAAGACAAAATAATAAAAGGAGAAGATGTCAGGTGAAGATACATCTACAAACCAAAGAAGGCAAAGAGGCATCCACCACTGTCCAAACTAAAAAGCAAGAGATATTTCTTCATTTTCATTCAGAGCAGACAGAGAACACATGACTCTGCTTTTGCCATAGATTTGTTTTACAGGAGATGGTAAAAGAATACATTTCTGTTCCCCGAAGCCACCCACTTTGTGCTATTTTGCTCCAGAAATCTCAGGAAACAGATTTGACTCATATAAACACCTTCATATTTACAGAGCCTAGAATATTGTGAGTCATTCTTGCATTCAAAATATTTTCTTACTCAAGTTGAAGCCAAATAAATTCCTATCACTGCATGTTATGGCTAAAATTAACCCTTCATTTATAGGAACATTCTGAATTGCCAAGATTTTCTAATAGACATCCACCATGTTAAATCATAAAGACAATGACAATTAATTCAGCTTAGGCCATGGTAACCAAGAAGTAGGAGTTTAAAAAATGTACTGATTTGTGTAATAAATATGGAAGAAACAAAAAAATAAATTTGTGCATGTTTCTCTAGTGGAACGGTGAGTTTGAAACGTAGACTTTTAGTAGCCAAGTAGTTAAACCACTGAGTTCCTAGTCAATATTTACTAACAAGTGCCCAAAACTCACAACAATATTGTGGGTATAATGGTGAATTAAAAAAAAACAAAACAACCCACCCAAAACCAAAACAAAAAAACAATCCCAGTTCTTATTCCACTCTGGTGTTTCTAGACATAAATAAAACTATAAAAATAAGTGAAAAGTCACTAATAGATGAAGTAAAATTTGATGCCACAATGAAATGAACATACTTATAATCTTGTGACAAAACAGGAAAGTATGAAAGCTTGATTAAGATGAAAGAATCATTTAAACTAGAGGGAACAGTGCATTCAAAGGATTGAGTTTAGAAGTTTGTTTAAAGATATAGGAGACTATAGCTGAAGTATAAAAAAGAAGAGGCAAAATAGAGAAAGGTAGGAAGCAGAAAGGGTTTGTTCTTACAGATCTTTATAAAATATCTGATAAGTATCTTTTCTTAAGAGCTGAAGACGAATTGTGTTAGGGAAATCTGCTGTTAGGGACCTCTCCAAAGTGCTAAAAAAACCAATGATGTCAGTCTAGAGTCTAAGGTGTGCCTGATTCAGGTCTTGGTCTTTGTGCATCAGAGAGTTGGACAATGACTAAGGATAACAGGAAAAGAATTGATACTCTTGAGTTGTGGTGCTGGAGAACAGTCTTGAAAATACCATACAAACAGGTCTGTCTTGGAGAGGGTGAAACCCAGTTGCTCTTTGGAGGCAAGGACTTTGAAGCTCCATCTCACATACTTTGGGCATGGGGCCAGGAGAAACCAGTCCTTGTGCTTGGAAGGGTGTTGGGACAGTGCAGGAGAGGAAGACCCTGGATAAGATAGAGCAACACAGTAACTGGGTCAATGAAGGTAACTGTATTGGAGATAGTGAGATTAGGCAGGGTTGAGAGTTATTGTACATAGGGTCATTGCAAGTGACTTGATGGCACGTAACAACAACATCTTAAGAGCAATGGAAGATTCTAATAATTTATTATTTGAAAAGAAAAACTCTCAGAAGTGCTTTTTTAAAATTTGAGTGAAAGTTTTAAGAAAAATTAATTTTTCATTCAATCATTCAGGCACCTTTTGTTCAATATTCACAATGCAATACCCACAATGCAATTGCATTTTCTACATGAACCTTGTAATTCTGATTTCCAATATGTTTATGTACCTTTTTGTGTCTTCCCTTTATTTAGTGATACAGTTTGTATAATTTTTCTGGATATTACTTTTCCCTTCATCCATATTATTATGTGCTTGCTATTTGGTAGTTTGCATTGATGGTCTAATGGTAACAAGTTATGCTGCCAAGCCAAAGGTACAGGTTCCAAATTCACCCACTATTCCAAGGGAGAACCATGGTAAATTTCCTTTCATGCACTTTACAGCCTCTGAAAACTCTCTGAAGCATCAGACATAATCTATTCCAACTGGAAACATGTTGCTGTTGGTTTTGTGTGCCGTTGACTCAGAGCCGACTCAGCTGACCCTCCAATGGACTTTCAGAGGCAGTAAATTTCAAGAAGGAGATTGCCTATCCTTCTCTTGCAGAGAAGCTTGTGGATTTGAATCACATGCTTTTAGGATTGCAGTAGAGCTTCCCACCACTCAGTCACCAGATCTCCCCTTGTTGGGAAGCATACAACATTATCTGGTGGTGTTCTCCGTAGTCAACTAACTCAAAGGTCCTAATTC